CCAATGAGGCAAATGGGCCTTGCCCACTAGGCCAGGCTCCAGCATTGGCAGCATTAGAGGGGCCCGTTCCATCTGGTGTCCTTGTCCTGTGTGAGTGTGTGTTTGTTTGGCCTGGCCTACTCTTTATGTTCTGCTGAAGTCGAATGCATCTCAGTTTCATTCTTATTAGGCTTGAAACCATTTACCAGATGGTTTGCAGGGGCGAAATGTATTATCCAGATAGGAGCTGTGAAAGATTTAAGACACCCATGGCATACTTCTATTATCAGTTAACTTAAAAAAATAACAGGAAAAAATAAAATAATTTAAAAAATCAATTAGAACAAAATGCAGAACGGATGGGATAGCTCCTATCCCTAGTCATTTTAGTCCTAATACACCTTACACACTTAAAGTCACAAAAATAGATCTTAAATATGCAGTTACTGTAAATTTCATTTGAAAATACATTTAAATTAAGGGAAAATGAATAAATGCATAAATTAGGTCTTCAATGCAACACATTTTAACTAAATACCACAAGCAATTTTTTCCCATTGTGCTCCCTAGTTAAGGTTCATGCATCTATTGGTGTTTTAGTGCATAGAGCACAATAAGGCCCCTTTAAAACTTATGCTTGTTAATCCTACAGTATGTGGTTCTAATGCATCACTTGCAGACGGGCAAGTTTGATATTACTCCCTCAAATGCACAAGGTTTAAAAATTCATCGGTGTTAATAAGTAGGTAATAGAGTGAGTTCTAACTGGTGTGTATTTATTATTACTGTAATATTCCTAAATTTAGGAGAATGTTGACCAAGTCTGATCTTGAAGTGATTACTCATGCTTTTTGTTCTATCACTCACTATCCAACTAGTAAACCTAGAACAGTCCACATGTTTTATCAGCTCTTCTCTTTCCCTTTGTATGCTAGACTGTGTTGTCAATTTTAAGTAGTAGTTGTAGTAGTGGATGTAGTAGTGGTAGTGGATGCTATGCTTTCATATATTTATTGCATGTATTTCTTTCCTGTGTTTTATTGTATTGTTTTATGTACAGCACTTTATCTTTATTTGTGAAAAGCGCTTTTATCATTAAATGTTACTTACTTTTTTGCCTATTTTACTGTGTCATTGCTGTATATACTCCTTAGTACGGTTCATTTTTGTATTTCAACATTTTGGCAAATATTCATTAAAACAATGAATGTCAAGGAAAAGGTTAATAATGTTTGTCATTCGTTCAAGAGAGTAAGACTTTATCATTATATAATTCATATGATATAATAGCCGTTATTTCTTATATTTTTGATAAAAATAGCTTGTAATGAAAATCCTCAATTCAGTGTCTCAGTAATTAGAACATCAAATTAGATCCTTTGAGATAAACTACTGCATTATGCAACTTGCCCTGGAGGCAATTAGCCTCTGGCACTGCTGAGTTGTAATGAAAGCCTAGGTTACTTTGATAGTGGCAATTCAGGTCATCTGGATTCCTATTAGTTTAGATCAGTCCAGTTCCCAAGTCAATGAAGCACTCTAAGACCACAGTCATAATCAAACTAGCTTTTAGTAGTTTTGGCAGTGGGGCCAAGTGCAAGGTACTGATGGAAAAATGAAAATCAGAATCTTGACAAAGGTTTTTATCAGAAGAAGCATAAAGTGGTCTGGATTTCCTGGTAAATGGCTGCATGGAATGTTAACTTTCTAAAATATGGTGGAGCACCATCAGCAGTACAGTCTGTGTACATGATGGCCAACCAATTTTCCTATTGATATAGAAATAATTTAGAACACAAAAAATCAAAAAATTATAAACGGGTATCTCTTCAATTGCAATCAGAAAATGATAGCAAAGTTAGATTTTTTTTTTTTTATGTTTTGGTAGTCCATGACTTTAGCTGCCTGTAACCCTGAAAGCTGTCCCTACACGTTACATGCCGATTTCATTACAAGTGATTCCATTAGACTTTTTTTCCTAAAAAAATATTCCCAACTCCCCCATTGCCACTGTTTCTGCATCGAAGTTTTATTTATGCAATTCAGTTCAATTCTACTTGAAAAGCCTTTATCAATCTTATCAAAATTTCTTCCTTTTTTTTTTATAGACAGGCTTCTATGAAGGTGTGCAATGTGTAGGGATAACTTCTTGGTCAAGAATAGCGAAAGAAAAATCTCAGCACACCTGAGGGTCCAGTGTATAGGAAGGACGTGGCCCAAAACGTGTCAACAGATTCAAAGGCAGATTTTCAAACACTTTATCGCTCTTCATCAAGTATTTATTGATATTATGTTTTGGTTAGTATGACCTTCATTCCATTCAAACCTTTTTTCCTTAATATTAACAAACTCCTCCAGTGCTGTTGAGCTTCTATGACCTTCATACCAACCAAAGCGTTGAATATAATAGAATACAAAATCCCTTTATTTCTCCTCAATGGGGAAATTCTGGTGTTTACAGCAGCAAAAATGATTATAGAAAAAATGCTCACACAAATATAGAACTTAGAAAAATGGAAAAGAATAATATAATAGCATTAGCAAATCTTTGATGGAGGAATCTCCCTTTGAATCTGTAGACCAAGACTAGCAAAAGTCATAGACAGTAAATAAATATGTAAAAATAAAACTTTGCCGTTTGGTTTTCATCCTGGAATTCCCTTTTGAAAAATAGATGTCATCTGTAAAAACTTGGGAACAATCGCATTGATTCTGGAAACAATTTTATGGTTTGGGAATCTGTGAAGAGAGCTAAATAATGTGGATAACGGTTAAAAAAATGTCCAACTTAAATACTTTCTTACCAAAGATTTATAGAAAAATATCAAAGCAATGCAAGAAAATGACTAGCAACTAAAAGAATGTAATTGTATATATAAAAATATAAATATTTCTCTATTTATTAGTGAGAACAGTAAAGGTTCCTATCTACAATCTCAATCAGAAAAATATAAACAAAAGAAAGTATTAAAATTATTAATTAACATTTTGTGAATGTCTATTCGATAAGCTGATATCTATTTACCCGTGATGTTTAACAATGTGAAAAAAAAAATGTTGAAATGAGGGAAAACTTTTGGTAAACAAACAAAATGATTTGATCAGGATTGGGCTCCTTTGTTGATTCTGGCTATATGTCTGTCTAAATAAATGAATCCATCAATCTGAGTCCCTTCTGAATAACCAATTGCCAGAAGGGTGGGAGGAGCTTATCTCTAAAAGCCACTGACAACGCAACAACAGAGACAAAGCATGAACAGTCATTAACACAATTAACGTCCAATGATTTCCAAACACAGGGCTCCTTGATTCTATCACTGCAATAATTTACTATCAATTCTCAGTGAGTGATTTAATTTTTTTACATTTCTAATTCATCACAATGCAATGCAGTTTTGTTCTCCTTGCAATGTAAATAGATTTATAAACATTGGCAGACTCTTGTGTATCAGCATGCATAATGCCCTATTAGGGGTTTGTTGGTAAACCTTTCTTCGAAGCCGTTTTGTGTAGTTTAAGATTTAGATAATCATCCAAACCTGGAGCCAACTTGTGCATATAAATTTGTAAATCTGTCATGCATGTGAATTCTCTACAGTACTATGTTTTATAATTATTCATGATCCTACTTTACTTCTAAACCTAGCACTGACTTGTGATATATGACATCAAAATGTTGTTTTTCAAAATAGATTTTCCTCTCCATGTAAGTCTTAGGAGGGTTTTGATGTTATTTAAACCATGCCGCTAAAATCATTGGAGTTTAAGCCAACAAACGCACTAAAACTGAAAAAAACTGTTTGACACTGTGCAGCAAAATGTAGTAAACAGTTGCTAGATCATCTGATGTTTTCTTTTCCCCTTCTGTTTTCTTCAGATTATCAATCCTTCCAGATGCACACACCATCATATTAGAGGCTCTGCTCAGAACAGCAATTCACTGATTTGGATTCCCTCTTGGCTGTCGCCTTTTTCATTACACCGTGACGACAAAATGCAAAGCAGCCTGTGCGTTTAATATGAGAGACATGATTAAAAACAAACAGGGGTGGCTCATGTTTGAGTTTCTTTATAATAATGCATCACGCATTTGGTAAATAGGAGGGTAATTATGACCTTCTCTTTTTCAAATTTAGATTTCATCGTCCTTGTTGGTCACGTTATTCTAGGTGTGATGTTCAGAGCACAGCTTCCATGGAGCTGTAATACCTCCTCCTGTTCCAGCTCTCCACTGAGCCAGCCATGCTCTCTGGACAGCCTGACACTCGCCCCAGATGCTGTCTCACCTCTGCAACAGACAAACTCTTTCTTCAGTGACGCTTGAAATTAGACGGCATGTTCCTCAAGAAGATGGAAATTTAGGGACAGACCTGGCATTGAGAGTGGCTGCCAATCACTAGGAGCTGGAGCAGCATGTGGAGGTGCAGGCAGTGTCTTTTCTTCAGTTTTTAAAGGTGATGGTTTTATCTGTGTACAGAATTGAGTTCATTCAAGCCAATTTCCGGAATAGGTTTCTTCATGTGAGCCATTGTGCAGTCAGTCAGGCATAAGCAAATGCCTTATCTGTGACACAGTTGTAGCTCTTCCAGAATTAATTCTCCTCTGCCAAATACAGCATATGCTCTCATGTCTTATACAGTTATTTTTGCTTTTGCCTAAGTTGTAATCTGTGTGGCGAAATGAAGCATCTTGTAACTCAGGTCACTTTTGCATCAACAACCTGATAAACTGGAACAAAACTAAAACAGTATGCTGCCACTTGACAAAGGAAACTAAAACAAGAATAAAAAAATCAATGAATTAAACTTTTTCTCTCCATCTTCCATTGTGTGTTTCTTTCTTTTCCACTCATTCTCATTCAGAAACTTTAATTTTTTTATGCATTCTCCACCTCCGCTTTCTTATTGTCAGTGCTGCAGCCCACCCTTCTCCCAGCTTCAGTGGTACATGCCAATAGAAAGCCCATCTCTGGAAGGGGAGGAGGGGAGGGTGGTCTCAGTCTCAGCTAAGCGGCTACTTTAGTCCCCCAGCAGAAGCACATTCACAGATGTCTCTGCACGCGTCTCAACCGTCATGACAAGGCAGTCCGCTTCTGTGTGAGCAGAGAGGCACAGAGAGATTCAGAGAGAATAAGAGAGGAGACGGGTGGGAGGGAGAGCAGGAGAAAGAAGAGGAGAGGGCAAAACACATATATCGCTTCCACTCTGAGGTTTCTGCTCATGAGTCTGATCGGGTGTGTTTAAGCAAAAGAAGAGGAAAAAGAGGGAGGACAATTCATCCTGAGAGCTTGAATCATCTCTTTGCTTGAAATTTGGCTCTTTTTTAACTCCATCCCCCAATGAATAAAGGTGGCTTCTACTAACACGACACAGTGATATAGAGGGATGCTTTGAACGCTGCCTCTCTTTCAACAAGGGGCAAGAAAGAGAAAGAGGGGGAAGACGGCATACAGCAAGGAAAAAAATAAACTGGATTTCTAGGATGACTCTGAGTCGACTTGGAAGGTTGGAATACAAGCCTCACGCCAAAGTCTCTGAATGAGGTAACGATGGTATCTTTTCTTTTTATGCTCTGCCCCCTGACTGGCTTAGACAATCAGATGGAAATCTGCGAGGCACTTGAAAGCATGAACAAGGGCTTGACAGAATGAACCAATTTCCATGCTCATCAGGTCTGGAGCAGCAGTCGGGAGATTCCCATCCTCCTCCACGGGTTGTTGTTGTTCGTCTCGCCCAGTGGAAGTGAGAGGTGGAATTCACACTGGCTGCAATGTTGCATGTTGCAGAGAAGCACTGAGATGAGTTGAGCATCAGGCTGAGAGAAAAAAAAATGGTGATAATCCTTGTGATGAGCATCTGGGGATGCTGAGATAGCATTAGGGCAGAGCACCCAGTTCAGCTGAGTTCAGCAGATAAATGGAGAAGGATTTGCCTTTATTTTAAATAGGATGAGTTGAAAATCTAAGGATATGTGTTAAAATCAGGAAAGTGGTGTTATGGAAGAGAGAAATTAGTAGTAAACAGGAGAATGGACTTACTGAAACTCAACAATCCAGCCTGCTGGGCAGTTATATCTCAATATTCTGAAAACAATTAAAAACCAGGTACTAGAGTCAGGAGCGAAAGATTGAGCTTTAATTAGGCTTAAAAATAAAACTGAGGGAAAGATGAAGATGTTATATATATCAGCACAGGTGCATAAATATCTATGCGTCCCAGAAATTGCCTTTTTACAACAGCTTTTTAACTTAAAAAACATATGACAATATAATGAGTTCTTCTCCAATTTCATCCTCGTATGTAAAAAAAAATCTCTCTACTGATTCTTCACAGTAATCACTTCTCAACAAAGATAAAGCTTTTGTATTTAGGAAAATTGCATCCAAGTGTTGTGTTAATAAATGCTTTTGATCAATTGACAATCAGTAAATAGGACCACCTCTGCAAAAGCGACGTTGGCAGTTTGCTGATGTTAACTAAGCACCGGGGTGGACAGCCGTCAGCAATCATCTTAAAGAAGCAATATGTGCCGTCCATTAATGTGGGAAGGGTTATAAGAACATTCATTATCAGTGAGGAAGATTATTCAGCAGTGGAAAACATTTAAGACCGCTAAAGAATTCCCAGGAGTGGATGTTCCAAAAAACTCATTCCCAGCCCTTCACTTGACTGCGTAAAAAAAAAGGCTTCATCTTAGACACTGCAAGCTTTAAACTATAAATAAAATAAGAAATGGAGTGAACTAGCATGGCCTATTTTAAAAGGTTTCTGCTGGAAAGCCTCTTCTCTTTGAAAAGGACATGGCAGTTTGAGTTTACAATAATAGATCTAAATATACCACAAATCCTTTAAAGCAATTTTCCTTTGGACAGATGGGAGTAGATATGTTTTTGGGTTTATCCTCAGCGCCTTGTTTTGCAAAGACTTAAAAAAAGGATATGAATGCAAAGAACCATCAGGGTAATTATTGAGCATGGTAGTGAGGGGGCAGGTGAGTTGGTGTTTGGCACTGTAGGACCAGGGCATCATCCATACATTAATTCAGTTTTGAGTACCACCATCAACTAAACCAATATAACTTTAACTATGAGTCAGTCTTTTTCACATATGGATCATGCAAAAGATGCAATGTTATAAACAGTAAAATCCTCCTTCATGATGTGAGAGAGTTATAAAGTTTTGCAGAAAATTACAACTATAAATAATCACTGCTAAAGCTGAGTTTGTACGATCTGGTGAACCATAGTAATTTTGTTTTTCTTTGGGCTCCTCTGCAAAAGAGTAAATGTTTATTCTGTTTTATACAGAAAAAAAATTTAGAACCTTGAAAATTTTTGAATTATTATGTTCTGATATATAAAAACCAAGAAGAACTAAAAATGCTCAGTGAGAAAAGCTTTAAGAAATCAATCCTGGAATGGGACGCTGAAGGTCATTTCTTCTGTCTGCTCTAGTTCTTTTTCTGCCCAAAAGAATCAAGCGAGTTCTGGCTTTTCCAGGCACATTGCACCAACGCCCAGGATTACATCTGTCTCTATGACTAAATTTGTTTTTGACAGGATCTTATTTTGACTTTTTTACATAATAAATACAGCAAAATATTGTGTATGCTATTTAATGAACCTCAATAACAGATGAGGTTATGTCTGATATAGTGCTGAAAAATGAATGACATTTATTGGTCCTTGCTGCATCCCTTTTAATATCCACAAAAAAAAGTAGTAAAAAACACAATGGTTTCTTTTCAGCCACAGATGATTGACCAACACAACAAAACAACACCTGGGCTTAGTCTTTTTAGCCTGAAGAGCAATGCTTGCAGTGCTGCAATACACTGTGCATGTTTCTGGCTGTTTCTCAGGTAATAGCATGGCTCTTTATTGCACTCTTTGGCCCCGAGTGGATATTTGGTGTCTGCTTAGTCTAGCTATGATAACTAGAGGGACCCAGAACCAATTTATAGACTCAAGGAAATTTTGTTTTTGCATTCTAAGTTCATGGTGGCACCTTTTTTTTTTTGTTATTGTCTAACGGGCCAGAATTTCAAATAAGAGTGAGCTTCATCTGTGCCTCTGTAAAACAAACCTTACAAAGCCACTATAAATCCACTATTCTTCACCAGATTTGTTTTAATGGACAAATAAATGATTCATAATGAACAGCATAACTTAAGTTTGTTCATTCAATACTTGGGTTAACATTCTGTCAATTAAGTTCAAATCAATTCACTTCCATTTAATTGCACTGTACCAATTAACAGGAGAAGTAACCTTCAATGCTCTTTACACAACCAGGTCCAATCCATACTTAATTATTAAGAAATATAAATGTAATTTAGCCGAGTTCATACAATACAATTAAATTTTGCAGATATTCAAATTAAATGATTTTAAGTCCAATTTGATTACACGTATGATCTAATGCATAAATGAGCCGGTAATCATTCTTAATATTTCAAAGGCTTTATAAAACCAAAGCTTTAGAACCTCTAGAGAATAATATGCGACACATTTTACAATTAAAGCAACCTACTTCTGTTCATTTTGATTAAAACAGCAGGTAATATTTTTAAAGCATATGTAAGTTTTGTTTTTTAATACTAAGGAGAAAATGTGGATTACAGTTACTGTGTCTATTTTCTATAGGTGAACTCATTGTGAAATCAGGTACTGAATGTCCTTTGTCTCGTTCATTGTAGTCATTATTTCACACATCATTTGATGATGTAATGATATGCATGAGACCAGACAGGAAGTAGGGGTGAAACTAAACAAATGTTTTTGATAGCGTTGAACACGGCTGTGGTTGTTTCAGGAGCATGTGGGTGAAGGTAAAGCATGTCTTCCTACACAGAGAACTCATAGATGCAGGTCCCTGAAAATACACTTCAACTGGTCATATTCCTCTCTGTTTGATGTCTGTTCCTGTGTGGTGCAGGTTTCTCTTTGAAAGTACCTCAGCTTCTCTGCAGATTCTACTATCAGGGCAAGTGTACAATATAAGACAAGTGGAAAAGCAGGGCCTTTTATAGAGCACAATAGGGACATGAGACATTCTCCTCTCAAAGAATAGGAAAGCTAAGCCCGGGTTTTGAAAATGTATAGAGACAATTTAGAAAAAGAATAACAATTGGTCATCTGTTTCTTCTGTGGGAGGAAGCCATAGTTGGACAAAACCTTTAGAGAACTCACACATGCACAGGAAAAAAAACTCACAAAGACCCCAGGGCTGGATTTAAAACTAGGAACTTTATGATGCAAGGCAAATTTGATGCAAACTGTCTTTGACTTAACTCCAAAATATATTAATCATGCTCATAATTTTAACCTCTGGCAGGTCAAGTGGATACGATTCGATCACTTCTTTAAGCCTTTAAGTATTATTAGAAATCAAGTGAATATTTGTGTTTAAAATTGAAGTATAAGATGCAGAAGAAAAGGGGCAGGTACAAAGATGTTGTAGCTGGAATCTAAGAAATTGTTTTGGTAGAAAGGTGTCCAATATATAGAGCGCCATTTCACAACATATGTCATCTTATGACACTTCACATAGATGATTCATTGATTTTTTTATTTTTTTTTGGTTAGTTTTTTATTGAACCATCATTTACTTCTCCCGGATAACATGCAGCAACAGCAGAATTTGCTTGCATAGTTTCAGTGATTTTGCAGCAATCCCTCACACCAAGCATGCATGCAGCAACAGTGAAGAGGAAAAACTTTTTTTGCCAACAGAAAGCTCTCTTCTCGCTAGTCTGCATTTTTTGATTTACACCAGGAAAGCAAATAATTGCTATACAGTACCATTAAAAACAGAAGCTGGTATTAATTTGTCAAACCAAAAAAGCTAAGAAATACCTTAATTTAAAGTGTGCAATTCAAGATGATTGATGGATACAGAGTGCTTCATCAAAATGTCTTCAGCTAGTCATTTACACCCTTATTTAACAGTCTCACAATATAGATTTTTGTGTTTTATCCTGCCGAGAGCAAATACAGGAGACAAACTGGCTCACAACAGTATCTAAACACCTTATGCTTTAAACGTCTCGATTCTTCTTTATAAAAAATATCTTTTTCTTATTGCTGTTTTTGCAAGAATGGAGATAAATCATTAAATAAAGCAAAAGCAAGCTTCTGACACAGTTGTTCTGACTATAGGTGAAGGCTGTTCGCTTTTCATTGCTGAATATATTAAGACATTCTGGTTTATTGTGCTACAGGCTTTGTTAGGATGTGTTTAATTAATATCAGTTTAATGGCTTGTTTTGGTCATGATTTTGCTAGAGGACTAGTATAAAACACACTGGGGACATATTCCTTGCATTGCCTGGCCTAAACACAAGAGTAAAGCAAAATGTCTACTAAGAACAAACATTTTCAGCCTTGCAGCAGTGCGACAGCACCTCGTCGGATTACAAACCATCAGGCTCTTGAAAATCTGTTTGGTGGCCCATTAAAACAGCCACTATTGTGGCTCATTAATGTCCTGCAGAGGAATTAGAATAAACTGTGCTCCATATACTGTGGCTGGCAGCGACTCT